GGGAAAGAAAGAGTCCCCACTGAATAGTTATCATCTTGTCTAGATGGGTCTGGTGAAAGGAGATGGGGATAAGATTCGTAAGATTCAAAAGTGAGTAACTGTTATCGTGACTAATCGTGAGTGTCACAATTGTAAAGGTAGAAGTTTTGTAACAAAAAAAAGGGGAGTGGTTAATCTTACAGTCCAGAAACAGAGGAACCTAGGACCATCAACAGAGGAATGCACAAGCAGAATGCAGAACCTTATCCAGAGAAGCAGCAGCGCCAGAGATGGAGGCAGAGATGGGGGCATGGAGAGGGGGAGACGCTGAGGACTCTAGATTCATCAACTAAGAAGAGAAGGACTAAGAGCTGGTGGCCAGGAGCAGACTTACAGAATGTGCCTTTTGGAGATGTAATTTATTATATATGCCTGAGTGGGTATTTTTGTTTGCGTGTTTTTTTAAAAAAGCTAAAATGGATAAAGAGAAATACTTTTAACTGATGGTATATGGAGGGGATTATAATCAATGTAATGAAACAAGGTGTATGAATTGTTGAATGTGAAACTGATGAAGTGCCCTGTAAACTTTCACTGAATCCACAATAAAAATCTTAAATTAACAAAACAAAACATGTAGTTTTTAGGGTGCTCCCCCAATTAAAGATAATTAAAGAAATCATTATTTTGAAAAAGTCAACTGGGTATACTGAAAACAGTGTTTATGTAGCCTCTAGTTGAGACTTCGCTACCAAAGTCTCTACATTATTTTTTGATGTATACTTTAAAATTTACTATAATCAGAGCTATGTTATTGTTGTTAAGTACCTTCCAGTCATTCTTGACTCACAGCAACCCTCTATAGGGTTTCCAAAGAGTGGTTGGTGGATTTGAACCTTCAACTCTGTAGTTAGCAGTCACAGTGCCACAGCAGGATTCCACAGTAAGAGTGCTGTCGAGAAGATCCCAATTCATAGGGTTTCCAAGAAGCGGCTGATGGGTTTGAACCACTGACTTTGTGGTTAGCAGCGCAGTGCTTACCTTACAGCACCACAGGCATTTAAAAAAATTTTTTTTAAATAAAACAAAAGAACCTTTTATTATATCCAAAGATGTAAAATAAATGGAAGCTCTGCCAGTGAATAAATTTTAAAAATTATTTCAAACTTAAAAGTGATAAGGTCTCGAGTTATTAAAAACTTAATTTTTGTTAGGTAATTTAAAGCACTGAATGCTAACCCGCAAGGTTGGCAGTTCAAACCCATCAGCTGCTCCTTGGAAACCCTATACAGAGTTGGAAATGACTTGTTGGTACTTAACAATGACAACAATGGTATTATTAGCACTGACTGTCAACTACTTTACTGTTATGAGTTCATCTCATCTTGTCAATTATTTTATAATGAAAAACTTTGGTACAAAGATTTCTCTCCTACGGCCTATATATTTATATTCTGTTGGGTGCTGATTAAACTTTTATAGAATACTCTATCTATATATGTTGTTGTTGTTGTTTGTTGTTAAGTGCCGTCGAGTCGGTTCCGATCCATAGCGACCCTGTACAG